AATCGTTCTCTTTAGATTGGTAGATTCGTTTGGGATGTGGTATGGAATACTTAAATGATCAGTTCCCGCCTCGACGAAGAAGCTGTACAGTTTCCCAATTTGCTTTTTCCTGGAGATGTTTAATTATGTATATTCTGTCATTGATGTAATGATGGTATATACATCATCAAACAAGAACGAAAACCAAACTAGGTCGGTATCCTGGGTAAGACGATAAACTACATCCGGCAGCAAGGCCTCTGATCAGGAGTTATTAAGGAGCATGGAACCACCTCTTATTTGCTGGTGTTCTCAGGTTCACCCTGAGTCGGGGTGGTAGCACCTGTTAGGGTCTCAGCTATGGGCAAATAGTTACCCCCCCTCGAAAACTGGGGTCAAAACGTGTAAAAATAGGTTTTATTACCAGTAATACATTTTGAAGGAAAAAATATTACTAGCAATACATTTTTGAACAAAAATATTACCTGCCATAAAAATCTTGTCGGCATTAAATAATTTATTGAGATTGATATGCCGTAAAACAAAACAAACAAAACTGGGTCGTGATGAGTTGACTTTCATAAATCTGTGTGCTTAGTTAATATTCGTTAATACTTCCGCCATGATGAATTCAGTTGAGATACCTCTGTATGTGTGAGGATTTTGGTGATACATTTCTGTTTCCATAGACAAATACTATTTTTTGTTGGCGGGGGTGGGGATGTATTTCTGATTCCAGTCTTTTTTCACAGAATAGAGAAATGTTTTATTGAATTCGAGGAGAAAGTAAGCTTAAAGTAAGTTTATCCTCAATGTCGAGCGATGCTTTATGATGCTTCATTTGTTGTTAATAGTTTTGCTTAATTTCCTCATTAGTAAATTCATTATTCTTTGTTTGTAGACCGATTTCGGAAAAATTGGATAAATACTTTTCTAGTTCTGCGGACATCTTAAGTTTAGTGTGGTCGGGATTCAAATGTAATTTAAATTGTTTTTTGAAACCAGGACATTTCTTCTGATGAGGCTTTGATTGTAATGCTATAATTTTGATTTTTCGCTTTTCTCCACATTTTAACACATTGTTGTTTGGTTTCATTAATTTAATTTATAGTTTTCCGAAGATACTATTTTTCCAGGCCCTTGTAAAACTAAGATTTTATAGGCCGCAATGTACGGCGTAGTGGGTGTATTTTTCGTATCACACTTGAATAATTATCTTACTTATATAAATGTATATATACGAATATGGAAAAGAATGAAGATTTTCAATAATATATGCATTACTGGTTCCCATATTGTATACATTTCTACGCTTGGTCAGCTCAGGAGATTTTTGTAGCCTAGCATATGTGCTGATTTCTTAAGTTTACGAATTTTCCAGTGGTGGTCTTTGTCTATAATCTCAGCCTGATACTACAGAGGGCGGTGATATCCCTTTTCTTTCCGTATGTGCCACAGTGACAGGAGAACATGGAGAGAGGAATTAACAGGAGATAACTGACATCCATTAAAACATGGGACTTGGAATTAGAATTATTTTGAATGCATTTTTTGAGATGTACAGTCTTGGAAAGTGGGAAATGATATTTGTCAAAAAAAAACGGTTAAGAACCACTACTATAGGCATGCATTGGTCAGGTTTGTACATGAGGTAAGCATTAGGTTAATACTTGAGTCTATTGATTAGTCGGATTTTCACTTGAATCTAAAAGCAAACATTGGTCAGGTTTTCTCTTGAGCCTATAGATAAACGTCAGTTACATATTGCTCGTGTTATAATTGAGTCTATCTGGAAATATTGATTGGGTTTTTACTTAATTCTATAGGTAAAAATTTTAGATTTATATCTGAATCTATAAATTAATATTGGTAGGGTTTAGTCTAGTGCAGGAATTCTCACCCGGTGAGGAATCCCCACCCGAAGTGTGGAGTGGGGGGGAGATTTCAAGGTTTCAGTGAGAGAAGAATAATCTTTTAGATTTTCCTGAGTTAAAAAAAAAACAATCACAACTTTCTCATTGTCTGTAATCTTCATCATAATAAAATCGATTTAAATACCCTGAGCTTTTATTGAACCTTTTTGTCTATTGAATTATAATACCCTGGCATTCTACTGAACTTTTTGTCTATTGAATTATGCTTCAGTTTATTTATTTAATAATTAGTTATGAATTAAAACAAATTACTGTACTGTCAAATTGAAAAATCCATTGACATTTTCTATTGCTATTAAACTTGTAAAACTCTTCTAAAAAATAATCCATTTAAATGTATAATTACTAATATGGAAAACAATGAAGGTTTTCAATAATACCTTTTGAGTCAGACAATCTTGGAAAGTTGGTGGATGACATTCTGACACGGTGAAAAGGCTTGATTGGACAAAAAAAAATTGAGAACCACTGAGCTATACTTTGTTTTTTATAGCTCCTCCTCTTTAGTAATATTTGTTCTTTCATCCATTTTCTTCCCTCGGTACACAATCCAAGAGCCACCCAAGGTAGAATGCTGCTGCATGGATCTAAGAGATGGAAGTAAGTGTAGATGGTTAATCGAGGTTTATATTGTAGTGGTCAGGAAAGCATCCTCTCCAGATTCTGTTTCACAAAGCAACGACTCTTGGGAAGAAGCTAAGTGGAACTTCCTCCTTACTAATGAAATACGAAGGTAACAAGGATGATTCAAATCTGTGTACGCGGGCCGGAGATCTGGACGAGTGGAACTGTTATGGAGCTCGTCTGAACATCTGCCATAGAAACAGCAAGTTGTAAATGTTTTCCTCTGCTCCACTTTCCTCTGATTTTGTCCCGTGAGTGTTAAATTCGTCAAGCATTCTTTCCTCGGTTATGTGTCCCCAGAACACTTTCTCTGAAATGCACACACACAAGGACAGGCAGTAATCCTGATAAACACAGGAGTACTTGTTTTCGTGGGTTTAACACAGGCCTACCGAAAGTAGGAAGTTGTATTTCTGTTGCGTTACGAGAGCAATTGATTTTTTAATTCTAGCTTCTAAGTCATTATTTGCTGCTTATTGCATTCTTTCCATGATGATGATTATATATCCAATAATACGCCAGGACACGATCCAATGATTATAGAGAGTTAGTGTTAAGTCGCATGAGCTCAAACGAACGGGATAGCTATTGAAGAGGAACCTGTACTTTTAAAATTAATTTAATATCCAAAATAGACAAAGAAAAAGAAGCGTCTGTAGACAATGTGTGTCTGCGGACTTAGCTTCGGGGAAAAGGCTTTCGGTTATCTTGTCAACTATCTTTATTGCAGAGGTCCCTTTCAGTCCACGGCTAGTTTCTTGAGATAGTAGTAATTTCTCTGAAGCTTAAGATGCTCCGTTCTTCTGTAACTTGATGTCATTGCTTTGTTTTGCTTGGATAACGTGGTGAAAGAAAAAAAAATGACATGAGCCATTGATTTTTGCGCGTATCTCTCTCTCTCTCTCTATATATATATATATATATATATATATATATATATATATACTAATTTGAACGAAAAAATGGCTTTACTTTTTGGCTATGCTGATGAATGTTTGCGAGTTTTCTTAAATTTAAAAAATTTTGAAAAACCAATAACATTTTTCCTCTTGTATACAGATACTTGTTACAAAATAAAATCCTTGCATTTCTCCTGATAAAGTCCCTCAGAGGACGAAACGCGTCGATTAAATAAGTTCGCAAATGAAGGAAAGACTGGTGACAACAGAAATGCTGTTCTACAGAAGGATGCTGATAATACCGTGGAGGGGGGCGTCTAAGCAACGAATACAAAATGGAAAACAAAAAGGAGAGTTATAGTCAGAAAGCAGAAATAAGCAGCTGAATTTCCATAAGACATATGAGGAAAGAGGGCTTGGGGAATTTGAAACTCACACGTCGTGTCGAAGTCAAAAGAGACAGTGGAAGGCAGCAGACGATATATCCGACGAATTTGTGTTAATGGATTTCAGATATAGACAATGGTAGTGCTAGTATATAGACGCACGTTACAAAGAGCTAGAAAGGGCAGGAAGCTGTGAGGAGCTATGATCGCTCACATCTTAAGCCTCACGGCACTGATTATGTCTTTCCATATGTCTGCATACATATAACCAGGCATATACTTTGGGTAACCTGGATGAACAACGCCTTTATCCACTGTTGGGTCCTGTCACTGGATCAACGGCCGAAACGCCTTTATCCACTGTGCCATGTGAATAATGTAAAGGACAGGGACCTCATCTCAGAAATATAGACAACGGCCGAAACATTGTAATAAATATGGCAACAGAGATGAGGACAATAGTCCGAATAATGTAAATAATGTACATAATACCTCATCTCAGAAATATAGACAGATGCAATTTTGGGTTTTATTAATAAATTCAAATGCATTTTTCTACATCTCTTAATAGAAGTTTTTTTGTTTGTTTGTTTTTTATCCGAACATCAGTGTTTTTATTGAAATTTCGAAGAGGCTATGCGAATATTTGTATTTATATTCAGATGAAAATTAATTCAGTGCTGGCAAATCGGAAGCAAAGCGCTTGTGTTATATACGAGCAAAATTTTATACCAAAATAAAAGACGAAGCATTGCTAGCTGAACGGTCGGTGAAGGTTTAAAATAAAAATAACAAAAAGTGAAAGAAAAACGTGAGAGTCGTCATAAAATCGAACAAAATTTAATACTTGTACATCAGTGATTTTTCTTTCACATGCTCCGAACAAAATTACTTGCGGACACTTAAATTTCTCACTTGCGCTTGAATTTAAGAAATCAATTTTAAAATTTCAATTTGTAACAGTCTTTGAATGTCGGTAGCGTAATGGCTATCGGAGCGGGAAAGTCGAATCAGCAAGCAAGGTTCGAGTCCCGACTGGGCTTACGGTCACATCACTTTAAAACAGCGGTTCTCGAAAGATCACCGAAGTTAAACAATGGTCAGTATCTAGATGGGTGACCGCTTGGGAATACCATGTTTGGATGTGCGACTGGTGCAATGGGCATACGGTCAATTTATGTTGAAACACCCTTTCTCGTACGATCACCGAAGTTAAGCAATGTCGAGCCTGGTCAGTACCTAGATGGGTGACCGCTTGGGAATACCTTTTACTGTAAGTTTGATGCTGCAATGGGTATACGGTCAAATGTTGTTTCGTACGATGTACAATGTCGAGTCTGGTCAGTACCTAGATGGGTGACCGCTTGGGAATACCTTTTACTGTAAGTTTGGATGTACGAGTGGTGTAATCGGCTTACGGTGAGAGACACTGGTTCTCGTACGATCACCGAAGTTAAGCAACGCCGAGCCTGGTAAGTATGGGTGACCGCTTGGAAATACCAGGTGCTGTCAGCTTGGATGTGTTGTTGGTGTGGCTTACAGCCATACCAACAACATTGAAACACCAGTTCTTGTACGATCACCGAAGTTAAGAAACGTCGATTTTGGTCAGTACCCTGATGGGTGACCGCTTGGGAATACCACATCATATGGTTTACAACTATATCACATTGAAACGCCGGTTCTCGTGCAATCACCGAAGTTAAGCAACGTCGAGGTTGGTCAGTAACAAGATGGGTGTCCACTTGTGAATACTAGATCACACCTGTCAGTGAGTAATTCCCATTTCTTTGTTTACTTCTCGCCTCTGTTTATGAAGGACACAGACGTGTCCGAAAATTCCGCTCTTAAAACCTTTATTTCCATGCTTCATTTCTATCATGGTTAATTAATATTTAATAAATGTTTTTCTTACTGATTATATTGGTACCCTTTCGTTTACCCTTGTTTTATTAACTAACATCTATTTACACACACACACACACACACACACACACATATATATATATATAAGGCAAAAGGAAATGTTATCTTCGCTGATGGGACTTTATCAAGTTAAATGCAAGGCTTTTATTTTGTAACAAGTATTTATAGACAAGAACAAAATGGTGTGAGATTTTGAAAATTTTTAAATTTGAGTAACGCTCTTAAATATTCATCAGGTTAGCTTAAAAGTCTAGGTAAGTTATGGAGGATGTTAAGTGACATAATTTAATGTCTAATAAAAGAATCTCAGTAAAAGATGTAAATTGAAATTTTTATGTAAATTAATATTTAAATTGTTTTAGTTTAGGCTTAATGTGTGTGTTGTGCATTTTAAATAAAATAAGGTTATGAATTTAACCATTTATGTTTTCATCAGATTTTTTAACATTTTTATGGCCATGTATGTTGGCTTGGGAAAAAGGTAATTCTTTCAGGAAGGGAGATATTTGAAAAAAATCCATGAGGCAGATTTATATTTTGATAAGATTCGATAGTGGCACTCTCGATAATTTTACGAGTCGGCTGAGTTTTCCTTTTTGTCTTTATCCAATGTTCCTTTACAGATAGAATATATCTGAGATTTTACATTTACTTGATGCGACTAGACGTGTGGACGAACGAAAGAGGCGCAAAGAATTTTCAATTTAATATAATTATTTTTTAATGTGTAAGCGCAGTACTAGTAGCAAAGTCTCATCAATTTACAATTGAATTGGCGAGCTACAACCGTAAGTTACATGCTAATAATTTCTTTTCTCGCACTTACCGTTTGTGGAACTCTCTTCAGGTTGCATGCTTTCTAATCAACTTTGATCTTCAAAAATTTAAATAACAATCGTTACCTACTGTCTTCCTGATTAATCTTCTATTGGTCTCGCTTCTTAATAATGTTTTTATTTCTAATTCTTTGACACTCAGTAACTCCTTGTGTCTGAGTGGTTTTACTACTTTGCATGAGGTTAATTTGATTTTTTTTCATATATAATCTAGTCGATTTCATTTAGCTTATTTTTATTTTTCCAACATTTTTTTATTAATTATCCCACATTATGAAAATAGAAGATCTGCCAAGAATGGCGAAATGCTGTAAGAAGCTTGAGGCAAAATTACTGTGGATGATTTAGCGATTAAAGCACTTTCTATACATTTTCGTTTCGGTAAATAGTTCCATTTTAATTAGATTAGCATAGCATATAATATATATATATATAAGGCACGGAGGCGTAATGGATAGCGGCTTGGATTGAGGAATCGGAGAGCCGAGTTCGAATTCCAGTCGAATCCATTACATTCACTTACGTGCTAATACCCTTGGGAAAGGTATGAATCCTCTTCTCCCTTCAGCTATGGGTAAATAGCAGGACAGACTAGGTTCTATAGCCTTGGATGGCAACTGGTCTAGGAGAAGGAAAACTCTGAATTAAAAAAAAAAAAAGAGGGTCGTTTGGGGAACCTTGTGGCACGTAGTGCACCAGGTCTCTGTATTCGGCTCTACAAAAAGTGTCGAAAACCTTCACCATTATAAACAAATCTCATGTGGTGTTGTTGGGCTGTCGATTTCCTACGAACCGATCTGCTTCACTCTCATACGTCGAATTCGACGGGAGAGTCGAGTATATATATATATATATATATATATATATATAAAACCTGTATTCAGTCCCGTTACGGTGATCAAATAATGAATTTAGTGTGCTGTAAAAGATCTCTTTTGTGATACTATTTACATTATTCGGACTATTGTCCTCATCTTTGTCGCCGTATTTATTACAACATTTCAGCCGTTGTACGCTCCGGCCTTCTTCAGGTGGTTGGAATGTCGAACTGAACCCTTTATTTCACTCACTGTTCTAGTTCCACGTGCCATGTTTAATGGATGTCAGTTATCAGTTATCTCCTGTTAATTTCCCTCTGAAAGTTCTCCACTGCCTTAACCGGGTATTGAACTCACACTCTTTGGGTCTTGTCACTGGATCTAAACATCGCCTTTATCCACTGTGCCTTGTGTCCGAATAATGCAAATAGTGTACATAATACCTCATCTCAGAAATATAGACAGGTACTCTTTTGTGATCATGTGATTTATTTAATTTCTTTGAGATTTCTCTGATTTATTTTCTCATAGTAATTATTATAGGTAATATTTTAAAAATAGAAAAAACGGTCTTTCCTGATAAAACCGAGCGAATCAATTTTTTTCTGTCAACTCTCTCTATTACAACTACAATTAAGAAGAATTTATTTAAACCGATTAAAGACTTAAATAATATAAAACAAAATAATAAGCCAAACCTTAAAGAAAAAATTTACTCTGTTGCCTCCCGACAGAGATCAAACCAACATTTTATTTTTACATCAGAGAAGCTAGGTTTAAGCTAAGTGGGCCTTACGAATTAAACTATAAGAATCTGCCAATTCCTGTCGGTAGGCACATTTTCCTTAGTAAGATTTACTCTCTGGGCCAGCTGACATTAATTTAACGTTTGTAGTAATAAGAAAATCATATATTTCTAAAGAATTTTATTTTTTTAATTCAACATATTTTTATTTCTTCAAACGTTATTTTTAGTGGATACTCGTGTTTGAATAAATCTGGCATCTTGGCTTCAGCCACTTTTCTACTGCCGAAACGTAGCTTCCCTGTGCTTTTTCTATAAATATTTTTCTGGTAATTGTTCTGATGAGCTTTCTTCTTTGCAAATATTTATTCGGGTTCCATCTTTAAACGTTGTTATTTTTATTCACCAAAGCACACAGATAAATTGTAAACATGGGAACGTTTCAATTTGATAGACTTAGAGGTATTATGACGACTGTAGTAAGAATGGTAAGTGATGTAATGGGATAAACTGTTAACCCCATGAGTGATTACACTATAGTTAGTAACTACCTATAAGTCTCTGTAAGTCAACGGACTACGGAGACTAGCTGAAATCTTTTCAGCTATACGGTTGAACTCTCTGCCTTCAGGCAGAGAGGAACCCAGACGAGGCTATGCCAAAGGGCAGAGTCTCATCTGGGGTGGTAGACCGACCCGATCCCGTTTTTTACAGGGTCTTTGACCGAGCCTACGGGCCCGGATACCCCACGTTAAATTTGGCCTTGTGCCACATTCGACCGAGTGGGGCGGTTGGCAAATATACTAGCTGAAATCTTTTTCGGCTGTGCTGGTCAAGCTCTCTGCCTCTGAGCCGAAGGGCAGTGTCTCCGCTCGGGAAACAGCTACCCGACCCCGTTTTATACGGGGTCTATGGGAATTTCCTGGCTGAGCCTACGGGCTCAGATGCCCCACATTAAACTCGGCTTTGTGCCACATCTGATCGCGTGAGGAGGTTAGTAAATACACTAGCTGGAATCATCTGTTCCAGCTGTGCTGTCGAACTCTCTGCCTTCGGCATAGCCTCGTCTGGGGTGGTAGACAGACCCGAACCCGTTTATGCGGGTTCTGCTGGGAATTTTTGGCCGAGCCTACGGGCTCGGATGACCCACGTTAAACTCTGCCTTGTGCCACATCTACGTGAGTGGGTGGGATAGTAAATATTGACTTGCTGGGATCTGTTCTAGCTGTGCTGGTCAAACTCAGCCTCTTCTGGTGATCATCTGGAGGCAATCTTGAAGGGCAGAGTCTCGGGGAAACAGCTAACCGACCCCGTTTTATACGGGGTCTACCGGGAATTTTTTTGGCAGAGCCAATGGGCTCTGATTACCCTACATTAAACTCGACCTTGTGACACATCCTACCTCTTGGGGAGGCTGGTAAATATCGACGAGCTGGGATCTGTTGAGTACAACTCAGACATACGCGAGAACTACCGACCTTTCTAATAGTAGTGCTCACTACTGGACTGACTTGCGATGACCTTGTGCATAACTGTTACCTTTATTCTTATTGTGCTGTTTTTTTTTTTTACAATAAAACTTTACTTATTTTATCCACTTTGTTTGTCAAGTATATATTCTTATTAGCACTGAAAATAACAGTAAGAATGTGTTGTTTTCAAGTAAGGTATACTGTGGTGTTTGGGTTAGTCATTGTGGCTAGCTAAGACGACCTTCCCCTATCCCCACTTTTTTTTAAGCGTTTCGCCTCAAGCAAGGCGGAAAGCCACTAGGACGCAAGGGGTTACAGAAGATTTGGAGCAAGATCAGATAGGAGTGATAGAGGAAAGGATGAGAAGGATCAAGGCAACTGGAGATGTCGATTGGTCTTGTGCCACATTTTTGTATTTACAAAATTAATATTGATCTCTTCTTTGGTACCTAGACATGAATTTAAGCGCAGTACAAGATTGGCAGCTAGGTCTAATCATTTTACACTTGAAGTAGCTAGATGTAACCGTAAGTCCTATGCTAATAGTTTCTTCTATCGTACTTTTGGAACTCTCTTCCGTCTTCTTGCTTTCCAGTCAAATTTGATCTTCAGAAAATGAAATCCAATGTCAATCGTTAACTGTTATCTTAATTCTTGTTTTTTTTTTTATTGTTTTCTCTCCTTAATATTTTATAGTTTCTCACACTCTGTAAGGTCTCGCGTCTTAGTGGCTTTATTGCCTTGCTTGGTGTGAAATAATTAAAACATACGACATAAAAGAAATTGAATTGGGATCAAATATGTATTAGAATCCGATATAATAAAATAAACAACAAACATGAATGAAAGGGTCATCAGAGAATGAGATATGGAGAAAAATGCAAGAAGATACGACAGAAATTTTAAATACATATGATATTTTTATCATTTCACCCCAAGCAAGGCAACAGTCACTAAGACA